ATCGTATTCAAACGGGATAACTTATCAACACAACACAATAAATGTGGATGGTGTGATTCCGGTGCGGAATTCCGGAATCGGAACCAATTCCGTGCAATTCCGGAATCGGTAGGAATTCCGTGCAATTCCGGAATCGGTGGGAATTCCGTGCAATTCCGGAATCGGTGGGAATTCCGTGCAATTCCGGAATCGGTGGGAATTCCGTGCAATTCCGGAATCGGTCGAACTCGATCAATCTTGACTGGGTGTCTTATGTTGTGTGTCGATCGAGTTCCCGGAATTGGACGGAATCGATTCCGGTGCGGAACTGATTCCTCCAATGTTCAACATCGCGGAATAGGATGCATTCTCGTATCCATTATTGAATATATATATGATTAAGCTGTTCGCTAGTATATAGAAACATCTTGTTCTATCTGAGATTTTTTCTTTCGTTATTTCATCAAGTAGTTTGCTCTGACGTATATCATAGTGATACTTTCTGCCATGTAAAAAATAGATAGCAATATCAATCATCAATGAGAGGACAGCTGAATGACGGAAGAAGAGGAAAAAAACGCATATGAAATTGAGTGATGACATTATTTAAGCGACTACCAAACACTTTATCACTAACCTTTTGAAACATAAGCATTATATTATTCACAATTATCTATATATCTATATATACGCATAACAACATATCAAAATTGTTGCAACATTGTTAAGATGAAATTTAACCATGTTGATAATACAAATCATCTTATATTTTACATTGATTTTCAATTTATTATCATGTTTACCAATTGACACTGAATCAACTATGACACATAACGATGATTTTAATACTACATTTTCTTCAATAAAATCAATCGAAAATCTTACATCTGATGAAATAAAACCAGAACTCGGCGTATTTGAATATCTCAATTACACAACGTTTTATTACTTAACCTTTTCACCAACTGGTCAATATTTATTTTTTGTAAAACAACATCCTTTATGGTATAAATATACTTATGAGCATAGTTTGTGGTTATACAATACTGAAACAGAAAAAGAAACATTAATTACAAAAGATCTTTATTCATATATAAAACCACAATGGTCACCTAGTGGTAATTACATTGCTTTATTCTTAACGAAACAACCAGTAACAAATATTACAAATGATCACGAAATTTGGTTGGAACCATTTGACTTTTTCAAATCTTATATCTTTTTATATTCAGTCGATTCAAAGGAATTTTTATCAATTGGTATTAAATATCAAATACCAAAAGTGTTTGCATGGTCTCGTGATGATTCATCTATTTACTTCGTTAATGATGAAAGTAATAAATATGCATATAATTCTAATACAATCTATCGTATTGATTTCAATCGAAAGAATTCTACAATATCTACGGAAATACATTCATTGAAAAATATTTCATTTTCAATTTCTGAATTCTTATTTTTTCCATCGGAAAACAAACTAGTTTTTACAAGCACATCAACTGCTATCAAAAATTTCGATGATTCTGAAATTTATTCAATTGATCTACAGAATTTAAGATCAGTAACAAGACTAACCAATAATAAAATAGAAGAAAATCAACTGCAGTTGTCAAGTGATGGTAAAAATGTCTTGTTTTCAGTAGGAGTTGTACTTCATTCAGCACCTAGCAATTCAGCTCAAGGATTTTACATGTTAAATTTAACAAATGAACAAACAACGCATTTCAAAAATTATTTTATGGGTAACATTATGGGATATGCTCCAAAAGCTGAGGGTGGTGTATATATACTTGGACAATGGAAAACAAATGTTGGAATCTACTCACAAAAATCATCAGATGAAGGTTGGATCTATCATCCTGGATTTGTAGGAACTTATGCTTCTATTGTATCATCTTCGAATCCAAATTGTTCGATTGCTTTTGTTTATTCAGAATCGCAATTGCCCATGGAAATTTATTGTGCTAATAATATTAATGATTTATCATCAGCGAAACAAATTACAAATGAAAATGAACTGTTTACTCAAAGAAATTTACCACAAATCGAAGTATATAATTGGACAAATCCAGATGATCATAGAATCATTGAAGGAATATTACATTATCCACCAGGAAAATTTCACTGGACAAATTTACCTCTTCTTGTTCTCATTCATGGTGGTCCTAACCTTGCAAGTTTAAATCAATTGTATGGAAATCCGTACAATTGGGCTCCATTAGCAGCTTCTAATGGTTGGTTAGTATTAGAACCTAATTATCGTGGTTCAACAGGATATGGTGATGAATTTATAGCGGAACTTCGTGGAAAACCTTTATCTTTAGCAGGAAAAGATATTCTTTCAGGAGTTGATCAATTAATTAAAGATGGCATTGCTGATCCATCTAAACTTACTGTTGGTGGTTGTAGTTTTGGTGGTTCTCTGACTAATTGGTTGATTACACAAACCGAACGCTTCAATGCTGCTCTATCTTGTTCAAGTTCATTTGAACATGTTTCTGCTTGGGGTACAGTGGATGCTCCTGATTTTTACAAGTATTGGTTTAATGGATTGCCATGGGAGATACCCCGTGTATACCAAAATGAAGCACCTATTTATCAGATGGATAAAGTTCGTACACCTACATATATTTGTACCGGTGGAACGGATGAACGAGTTCCTGCTAGTCAAAGTTATATTTTAAAGCGTGCACTCGATAGTCGTGAAATTCCTGCAAAATTACAAATTTTTTCGAATGAAGGGCACCAATTTTCCAGTCCAATGTCTGGATTCACAAAAATTACTGAAGAACTATTGTGGTTAAAGAAATATGGTAAAGGTGATAACTGAAACAACGAAAGAACATTAATATATTCTTATTTATCATCTTCTCTCTTTTCTTAACTACATCTCAATAAAGAATTCCACCTTTCATCTTTATTATAAGAATAAAATAGGAAAAAGTCTTGAAGCGTTTTTTCTAACGTTGAAAGACAATCATAAAAGTAAGTTTTCTTTCGTTCATACAGTTTATGATACCATTTTACCTGACTCACAGGTATGTATTGGGTGGGTGTGGTTGTGGGAGTTCTTATTAGATCAACAAAGGACACCCGCACCCACCCTACCCAAAGAAATATTAAACTAATTAGTGAACACCCACACCCTCAATCAAAGCACGTGAAAAATACTACGCATCTCCAAACAGACTCATCGTTCGCACTCTCAGAATAGTCAACAAAAATTTTCCGGGTGACAATGAGTTAACAAGTGTCTGTTAATTTATAGATAAAGTCGAGAGAAAATTCAATCAACATTGATTTTCTCAATTGCATTTTGTAAAAGTTTTTCAAATTTTTTAATAATAGACGGTTCTGCTCTGTCGATTTTCATTTGATTGACGATGCATTGATAATAATTACACACCATGTGCCGGTTGCCCCATCGTTGGTAAATCTTGACCAATGCAATATATATCTTCACATCTAGTAGATCAGATTGATGTTTTGATTGCTTTTTATATTGGACCAAACTTTTACGTAAATGTTCTTCTGCTCGACTCAATTCATCCAGTTCGAAATGAATCAAAGCAATATTACAATGAATAATCGCAGTTTGTATACTTTCTTCTTTATTCTCAACTGTCAGAATATCCAATGAATGTTGGTAATGATATAGAGCTTTTTTATTATCATTCAAATCCTGATAACATGCCGCTAAATTATTATGAAGACGAGATTTATGTATCTGATCAAAATGAGGATCATTAGTGACAGACTGTTTCTCTAACAAGCAGAGATAACAGCGAATAGCGTAGCTAATATATCCTGTTGATCGACATGTATCTGCCAATTCACACAGACCCATGCTTTCAAGCTTAGGAATCGATATGATCTCATGGGAGTTGTCTTGATGGAGTAGCAGGTAATTTGAGTTGGATTTCGAGTTTGTCTCAGAAGACATGACGGTGTCGACCTGTCTGCACACTTCAAGAAGATCAATATTGTTGTTATGGGCTTTTGATTGATGTTTGATTGCTTGAATGTACCGTTCCCACATATTAAAGGCGAGAGGTAGAAGATTCAAATAAAAGTATAAAATCGCTAATTTCTGATACACATCAAAATACAAATCGCTTGAACACGCTATGTTCGTTTGTTCGATAATTTCTCGAGCATGAGAACAATGTTTCAACGTTTTCGATGTATCACCTTCGATATAAAAGGTTAAAGTGGCAATATTCACATGAAGCCAAATATATCGTTGATCTTTCTCAAGTAAATTCTTTTGTGCTATTTGCAAAGCAGTTTCATAATTTTTCAAAGCTTCGGAATATTTCTTTAATTTCATATATAAACTGCCTAATTCATGATAAGATTCAACTAATGTCGGATGGTCATTTGGTAAAATACGTAGTTCTATTTTTAAAGCTTTCTGCTGGCAAACAGTCGCATTTTGATATTCTTCGAGATAGATGAATGCTGCACCCATGCCATGATATATGCCAGCTAAAGCTTCTTCAATGTAGATAGAATCGCGCTCTACATCGTCGGCGATGTATCGAGAAAGTATAAATGCGGCATAACGATAACATTTTAGAGCTTCCTTCGGCTTTCTACAGTTGAGATTGAGTAGAGCAATATTACTATGTACAATAGCCCAGAGTGGATGATAAATTGACATAGTATCGGCGCAAAGCTCCAATGATTTCTCAAAATGATAGCGTGCCTGATTGAAATAGTTCAATTTTCTTAAAACTTCTCCAAGATTATTGTGTAAAACTCCTCGATCTGAATGGTCTTTGGGTAATGTTTTACGTAGATAGACATAGAAACGAAGCGCTTGACGTAAGAGACCCATTTTAGAAAGAAAGTAACCAAACGTCAATATTGATGGATGATCACCGATACGTTGACCAGTATAAAAATCTAGCAGATCAGTGAGCTGTTTCATCTCTTTGAGTTTTTCTTGTGTCTGATGATTCCAAGTTAATTTCACCAACCAGATTGTATCTGTTTCCTGATCGACATTTTCAACATGAAAGACAGTACCCATAGAAAAAAGAACTTCGCGCTCATCTCCAATCACACTTGACGTTTCAATCCTTGCAAATGGGCGACTCGGAGTACTGGCATCGAGTTCAATTTCAAACATGACTGAGACGATTCCTTCAGATTCATACTCACCATTACCGCAGAAACTCGCTGCAACAATTGGTGAAATAGATGTTGAGAAAAATGTATTGATGGATATTAAATGACCAACATTTTGTTTTATTTTCATAAGTTCACTTTTCCACATCATCTGTCCACGATAAACGGTTAGATGCTGTTGCACAGTTTGATACTGTTGCACGTATAAGGAGTGTATTTCTTTGAATAAATCAAGAAGAAAATAACGATATTTAAAGATAACCTCGAAATCTTGTCGACGAAAAGCTTTGTTAAATAGTTGAAAGATAAAGCCATTTTTAGTGTACCATTTAATTGCTTCATTTTCTCGATAACTCTTCTCAAATATTTCAATGTTCTTCAATTGAACTTCATTGTCTTTATAACTCAATCGACATTCACCGATCATCTCTGCTTTGGCTTCGGATGATTGTGGTAAACGTAAAAGAACTTCAGTGATTAATTGAGACCACATGAAAGAAGCTTGTTCATTGTTCAAATCTTTCAATGAACGTTGGCCGGTATCGAATAATCCAAATGGTAAGTTAACTTCAGTCAAGGATCTTAAATCATCTTTTAGCTTCCTTGATAAGCTGTTCTCATTATTGTAGACACCACGGATTTTATTCCATTGTTTTGTCCAACTGTTGTGCTTATCTACATCGAAACAAAAGATATAGACGTAAGCAATCTGAGTCAAATCATGAATGGAAGGTATAAATGTTTGACCAAGAGAACCAGAAACAATCAGAATTATCCGCACAGCATTCATCTTTTCAATGTATTCTTGACAGGTAGTTGTATCGAGAAATGGACGAATGGACTTGACGCAGTAGAATAAATCATGTTTTCGTTGGAATAGCAATTGTTTTTCAGGATTTATTAACAATTTATCTAACCAAATGATAATCACATCATGAGGAAGATTTTCTCTGCCTTTTTCTTCCGACATTGTCGTATGACAGACTATAAAAATCTTTTTTTACTTCAAGTCCTAAATTAACCTGTGGTCGACATGAGAGTTCAAAACGTGTTTAAAACACTCAGGTAGAAGAAAAACGGAAAAATACTCGAAGTACCCCACGTGAAAGCCAACGATTTTTTTATTTTTTTGAATAAAAGAAAGAAATGTTGATTACAGTTGCGTCTACACTTCGTTCAAATGATAATCGAACCAGAATCGATTTTCGAAGGTTGAAGGACGTTTCGTGAAATTAAGACGATGCTTCAGTAAATATTTCAAGCAAAAATTATCTTCACATCCATCGCATATATATATAATTTGAATTATGTGGCATATTAAACGGTGTTCTGTTATTTGACGTTACCATGAGATGACTTACTTGCTAGAAAAGAATGGAAAAAAAGTAAAGGTTTATGTTGTTTGGCTGACTATGTGCACATGTGCCTCATAACAACACCAATCAATGTAAATAAACGTCAGTGGAAAAAAAAGAAAAATCTTATTTTTACTAAGGTATCTAAATAAATGACCGAAACATTAATTTTTCAATCGATGCGTTCGAATCAAAAATAATAAATTTGGACAAACGATCTTTTAGGATAATTTGTTGATTTTTAACAAGGAATTCACATTTCGTCCAAAAATGAAATTTTAATGACAAGGACACAGGTATATAGGTGGATCTAAATGTGCATTTCAGTATGAATAAGACTGCTAGCTTTATTACGAATGTATAGAATATTTTTATTTGAGCCACAAATCTCGAATTTTTCTACACGTAGGTGCTCATAGTTATTACTATGTTAGAGTACATTCAAAAGAATATTTGAGCATTTGTTGAGGCATCATTATGGTGGAGTGTGAGTGTAGGTATAATATTCATCTCATATTTACATTTAGTCACAGTCACAACCACACTCACACCCACTCATCTTCATATGGTATAATTGAAGTTTCACAATTTGAACTTCTTGCTATCAACAACGACTGTTTATTGATGGAGAGAACTAGGCAAATACTATATTTCGTTATTTATGTATTTCATTTTATCGTGACATAAGTTGTATGCAATAACAAAAATATTTTTTCTTTTCTACATGTAATATGTTGTTCTGTTCGAAGTGCGTCACGTTGTGTTTCACAATTCGATGTAATAACTAACTTACTCGAGCAATGACGAATATTTATCGACGGTAAGAATAAAATAGAGTCCATTTACTTCATTAGTTATTTCTTTACATTTTCGAGAGTAAACACGTAAGTATTTTGATTATTCCTTATCCTTAAAACGCGATACTCATACTTATTCATTCACATCTAAATAAGTTACAATATTTTTCTCCCTTAGATTGCCATATAGCAGAGACTACAAACGAGAGAAAGCGATTCTATCCCTCCTCGAGAACCATCGTACATGAGATACGTCTTGACTTATAAACGAATTCGTTCTATTGAAAATCTTATAGGATCTCTCATATAATCTCTCCATATTTCGTGTAGGTTATGTATATATACAAATCCTCCATTGATATTTTGCTTTATCATTTAGTTAAAATAAAGAGAAATATATTTTGAGATAACAATGTTTGGTGAACAAGAACTTGTCAACTATAATGAAACAAATAATGCATCACAAATAGAAAATAAAAATGATGTAACATCATTACAAAGTGAAACAGCAATAAATTCACATATGCCAATATCTACACGTAGTTTTAAAGATTATCTTTTTAAACCTGAATTACTTCGTGCTGTTATGAATTGTGGTTTTGAACATCCATCCGAAGGTTTTATATAAGAAAAAGAGAAAATAATTTTCAATAAGAACTTATTTATTTATTTATTCTACAGTTCAACAAAAATTAATTCCACAAGCTATTCTTGGTACAGATATTCTATACGAAGCCAAATCGGGTATGGGTAAAACATCTGCTTTTGTACTTGCAACACTTCAACAACTGAAACCTATTGATGGACAAGTAAATAATTTTCATAAAATAAAATTTTCTTATGTAAGATTCAATTTCATTTTTAGATATCTATAATCGTCATTTGTCATACACGTGAATTGACATTTAGTATAGGTCGTGAATATGAACGTTTTTGCAGGTATATGCCATCTGTGAAAGTCTCCACGTTTTTTGGTGGTGTACCAATAACAAATCATGAGGATGTTTTAAAAAATAATTGTCCACATATTGTTCTTGGAACACCTGGTAGAATTTTAGCTTTAATAAAGAAGGAAGTATTTAGTTTATGTTATATCAAACATTTCATCATTGATTCATGTGATTATTTACTTGAATCATTTGGTAAAAAAATAGAATATTTCAATCTTTAATTAATTCTAATATTTCTATATATAATCATAGATATACGTCAAGATGTGCAAGAAATATTCAAAATGACACCATATGAAAAACAAGTATTGATGTGTAGTACAAAATTAAGCAAAGAAATGCGAACAATATGTAAGAAATTTATGCATGATGTATGATAGTAACAGTTTTTTCTTCGATTCAAAATAATAATATTGTTATTGTCTAATTTTATAGCCATTGGAAATTTATATGGATGATGAAATTAAATTGACAAACCATGTAAGTTTAATTCTTTTCAATAAATATACAGAGAACTGCTCACAAATGTGTAGAAACTATTCGATTGCAAACATACTGAAAGACAGACTTTTTCCCTTGAGAATGTGACATAACATAGTACTCTGAGACAGATCGATCTTCTATTCAGACCTACAATCAGCCATACTTCTCGAGAAAAACTATCTTCGGATAGTGTATCCTCACCATAAAGGCAGAGTATTCTTTCTTATGGCTGTGTTATCTTTTTAAATCTTATTTTTTAATGAAGGATCTTCGTCAATATTATATAAAATTACATGAAAATGAAAAAACTCAAAAATTAATTAATTTACTTGATAAATTAGAATTTACACAATTAATTATTTTTGTTAAATCTGTATCACGTTGTATTGATTTATGTAAATTATTAATTGAACAAAACTTTCCTGCTATTGAAATTCATAGTAGAATGACACAAGAAGAACGGTTGGTTGATTTTTAATTAAAATAAAATAGATAAATTATTTATTTATTTAGTTTGGCACGCTATAAACAATTTAACGAGTTTCAAACACGTATTCTTATTACAACAGATCTATTTGGACATGATATTATAAATATTGAACGTGTTAATATTATATTGCATTATGATATGCCAGAAGATATTGAGACTTATCTTCATCGAGTATGTATAATAGAATAGTTCTGTATATTGAATTCATGAAAATATATCATTTTAGATTACTCGTACTGGTCATTTTGGCAGAAAATGTTTGGTATTAACATTTGTTACAGATGAAAATGATACAGCAATTCTTAATAAACTTCAAAGTCGTTTTGAAGTACAAATTACTGAAATGATGAATGAACTTGATATTACTACACACAGTAAGAATCTATTTTTTCGTGCATTATAATGATGCTTTCTATGTTTTTTTAGTCGAAAATCGTTAATCTATCTGGTCTTGTTGATTCCAATAAAACACACAAACATTTCTTTCTTTCTTTCTTTTTTTTGCCAAAAACACAACATCGTTTAAAAGTATTTATATAGTAATGACCTGGATAATAATTACTTCTTTATAAAAACAAAAAGTTGTTTTTCTCATGTTAAGAGTGAGTTCCTGTTTTTTTCAAAGTTAAATTTTTTATTACAAAAAAAAGACTCTTGATGTGTAAATAAATGATAATTCTTTTAGATGAACGGAAAGTACAAAACATACAACAAATTAAAATTAAATAGAGCAGAAGGAAAATATTTTTTTTATTAAAAAATATATAGCACGTACTTATAAAATATATTTAACCTTTTCTTTCTCTCAAATAAAATAACATTTTATTTTTATGTGATGTAAATACCGAGATTTTCTCAATTCGTATTTTTTTTTAAAAACATTTTCTTCATCTCTATCTAAACGCTTGATATCAAATGCATTTGGACGAACACGGCAGATGTTTCGTTTTAGGTGCGTGTCAAACGCAGCTGGAATGTGTTTTCACATACGTTTAAAGGTAAAAAAACGTTTTCAAATCTTGTTGATTAGATATGTCCTGCGTAATTAAACGTCATCGTTGCGAAGAAAGAGAAAGAAAAAAAGATATCTACAACTCGTTTTTATTCATCATTAATGTAATAACGCTGTCGGTTAAATTTATTATATGAAGATGAAAGATGTTCCTTCCTTCTATATAATAATTTACTTGATCATTAGTTTTCAATGTCATTTTTTCTTTGAAGTATAATATAATTGCAATTATAGTATTTTTTGAAGAGTCAGAAAAAATACTACATGACATAGTACATTATTCTTTTTAGAAGTTTTAGTTTTGAAGCAAATATGTCATCGTCGACTATTTCAGCTCTTATTTTCGCCACACGACAAGTCTCTATTTATTTGGGTACAGCTGTTCTTGTTGCTGGTGTGCTTGGTGGATTATTCAATATTATTGTCTTTCTCAGTCTTCGTACCTTTCGACAGACCTCTTGTGCATTCTATTTGGTCGTTATGTCTTTCGTCAATATTGGTTCTTTGATTACGACTACACTTTCTCGTATCATGATCAGTGGTTTTGGCATCGACTGGACTCAAAGTTCACTAATTTATTGTAAATTCAGATTAGCCTTTGTACAACTTTGTGCTCTAACTTCTTTAACATGCATGTGTTTGGCAACACTCGATCAATTTTTTGCAACATGCTCAAGTCTTCGATGGCGACAGTGGAGTAGTA